ATCTTCTTGGGATATTCAATCGAAATATGTCTATTATTTTAGTTATCATTTGGAATTTTATTTACATTTTGTTTAGTCCTGTTTAAAATTAATATTTATTATGAAGTAAAAGGTTTTTAGGACTCTTTTATTCATCATAACTATGGATTTGTCAGTAAATATAAAATATGCCAAGAATTTAGATTTATACTTGCAATGTGATTTATATATACTGTATATTTGTGTGATTGAAGTAGTTTTCCGTTACTTACTGAAAGTAAAGAAAGTAAATTTAGTTATTATTAAAAATATACTACAAAAGATTAATAGTGACAAAACAAAAGGTATAAAGGAAATTCTTTTACAATATGTACAAGTAGATATTCTATTAAAATACTATATAGCTATCTTCTAGAGTAGTAAGACAAAAACATTAAAACACAACGGGGACCTGAAGCTGTTCGCCAGGATCAGAGCGTGAAATGACATTGTCCAAAACTAAGCCTCCGTCTACCATCTTGGACGTTGCAATGCAAAAATAGGCTTTGTTGAAAAACTTGTATCAAAAGCTCGACAGTACAGTATAACGGAATTTTGTTAGCGTATGACGCACAGACTGCGACACACATGATTCAATGTGTTTTGTAATTCAGCATCTGGTCTCTGTATAGTGTAGGGTTTGTTGGTTATTTTTTAAATTCGATTGTTGTAATGCTTAACCAAGTGATTAATGATCATATTGTTCAAATGGTTTACACATTTTTAACAGGTTTTCAAAGAGCTCAGCTGTTCCTGGTCATTGACCTTTTGTTTTTATTTACAATGAATAAGGAATGAATCTGTCATATCAAAGAAGCTACACGAGGATTTTATTCATCCCACTCTCATATTTCATTCATACTTGGTCTCTATTTCAATACTGAGATATGTTTAAACATACATAGTTTAATCTTTATTCTTAACTTTAGTTATATTATTTATACAATAACAATAAATATCAACTTGGAACTTGAACTGGGTTGTATTATAAAATGAGTTACGTGTAGTGGTGCGATTCGGTTAAATAATTACCAAAGAACTTAGCGATCTTCCATAGAAATTAAACTGTGGCTATGTGTTCACTTGAAGGTTTAGCGTAACACAAAATTATATAAACAAAACACATTATTTTGATAGAACAATGTATAGAGGAATATTTGGGTCAGTATAAGAATTGGTTTTGAGAGCTTACATAATTTTTAACAAAGTAAAAAAATGGGAAAGAAGACATTGTTAAGTTTATTCAACTCTCAACGCTAAACGAGAAAATACACTATGTTATGCAAATAGTATTGTGATAAAGAATTTTTTGGGGGGAGGGGGTATTTTAACTTCCATCGTCTTTTAAAATCTAATCTAGATTTTAACAACCATAGTAGATTAAACAATCTACTAATCTGTAAATTAATCTGTAAGTTAAGGAAAGAAAAACTCATGTAAAAAAAATTATTCGAAGGTTTTGGGGCACGAGGGTAAAGACTTTTGATTAGCAAAATATTTAAGAATATATAAACTTAAAATAAGACATTGTATCAGGGTTATTGTTTACATTTATATTTCTTGTACTGTTTGAATGTCCATACTTAACTGACACCTAAACAAAGGGAATAGGTAATTGAGAAACCAATGTAAATGTAAAGAGCTCTTGTCCTAAAGACCTCTTGTAGTGTTAACCAAGAAATTTTAAAACGAAAATTCAAAATGCGTGAATGAACAAAAACTAAGACGGAAGTGAAAATTATAACTGAACATCTTGACAGACTAGGATTGTGAAACACCTCAACACAAACAAACATCAAGTACAGTAAGTTATACTTGCTACTGTAAACCTCTAGAACTGTTAACTGGATTAACACAAAAGATAATCTGCATGTCATGAATACATACATTTATTCGTCTCTTGTTGTTCTGTGCAATATAATTTTATTTTTTGTGTAATTCTTTCAAGTTAAAGATAACTCCAATTCTAACATTTTTAATTCATTTTTCTTATACCATTTGAAGGTAATAACAATAAATACCCAGCTAAATTAAAACTAAAACAAACAATAAATCAATTTTAAATATCTCTAGAACGTTGGGTACTATCATTTTTGCTTTCAAAGATCAATGTTTGTAAAAGAATATTTATAATTGGATTTTCTTACCACATTTTGTAAACAGTAATACAATTTATAAACCCAAATTTTTACTCTTTTAAACTGATATTTTAGGGCTTACAGCAAGAAAAGTGCTATAGGTATTGCTAGATAAAAGTATGAGTATGCTTTTAAAAAAGACTAAAATTTTTAAATCTTTTAAACAAACATGAGAGACTGATTGACTGTGTAAAATAATAGGGGGTGTTTTTAAGAAAGCTTTCATTTTACACCATTGTGAAGGCCCACGTTTCATGGTTGTTAACAAAGTTGAAAAAGAACCGAAAATTACACGGAAATGTCGTTGAGTGTTGAGTGCTGTCAACTTGTCTTTAAGCTGTTATATTTTGCCAAAATTAATTCTCATTTTGCCTCGTAAAGCACATTCGCTAAATTTCGTACTTAGGTAACAAAGTTTGATGAAAATATGTATATCTGTAAACGAATATTATGATTATACTTATTTTTTATCAATGTATGTGTTGACAATTAACATGTTGTGTAATAAATATTTACGAAAACGTTGCATTAGGAAATTATAGTGTTTTATGAAGCATTTCATACATGTGTATTGTATAACCAAAAGAATACACAAAATTTAAAGATCTTCCAAATTTCCTGTCTCTAAGGAGAGGCTTATTTCCTAGAAATGTTCCAATCGAGAGGTTGATAATCTCTTTTGATCCTTTTTACATATCTTTCATCCTACCACGATATTTCCTTGTTACTTTAGATCAAGGTTTAAATATAAAAAAAAACTGTGGTAAATGGAATTTAAACTTTACAGTAAATGCTGAAGTAAAAAAAAAACTATATATTTGATGAAATAAATTAACATAAATTTTACGAAGGATGTCGATACATGGTTACGGATTTCATCAAGTAGGGCTCTATTATATTTTAAAATTGTGTTTATAATGTATTATGGAAATTACAAACTTAACGCGCAAAAGCAAACGTGTAAAAATAAATTAAAAGAAAACACAATGTGTTGCATTTATGCATGAATCGTGTCACGCTGTTGTCAAACACACAGTTGACTCGAAACCAAAAATCAAATAAAAAGAGGATTGAGTATATCGATTTTTTAAATAAATAATGTTAAATTTTAAATCTTGGTGAGGAATTTCAATGACATGCGAGTTTTGGATACGAAGTAAATTTAAAAAATCTTACTTTAAAAATGTCCATATTATTCTTGTGTACAATAATGAGTAAACTGCTTTTAATTTGCTTGTTTATGGATATATTTTGATCAAACTTGGAAAATTTATGTATTTTATGGTTGGTTATTAATACTTTACTAAAAACATATATAACTTTCCTTGTAGCAGACCTAGGTACTTGTTCAACTTAATTTTAATAGGTTTAAAAAATTGAAAATCCAATCAGGCGAATGGAAATTCGCTTAGTCTGCATGTTTGCTGTAGCGGGGTATTTGTTTTATTGCAGCTTGTTATATTACTTATTTCTCCCTTAAAATAGTATAATGTATTGTAGCATTATCTATTTTATAAGTTAAGTTTATTATGTTCAGAAAAAAACACAGATCCCCGAATGAAATACTTTTGGTTATGGTTGAAAATATTTTAGTTTATGAATGCAAAGTTATTCATCACTATGGTTTAATTGTATAAACCTAGATGAAGGGATTGGACTGTATAATCTGTAAACTGAACATTTCGCGCCATATTGTGAACTTCAACTGCTTTAACGAACTCAGGTCTTTAGTATTCTCCGCTGAGTGCAACTTTGTTGTGTTAATTTGCAACTACAAGAAAAATATTTATATTTAGTGCGAATTAATAATTTTTTTATTTAAGCTTTACTTTATACTATTATGCATTTTTAGTATGTCTCTTCACTAATAATTAAATCTTTACTATGTATAAGGGTTTCATATTAAAACTTAACTTAAAGAATTTTTTACTAGCTATCAACTTTAATTTTGGTATTTGATAAATTTTTAGCTGTCCAAACTTTGCTGTGAATTTAAATAATAGAAGTTTATAAAAAAGATAAAGTCAAAACAATATTTTTTTGAAAATTGCCTCTAAAAATATGAGGTATAATTTATGGTTTGTGTGTTTACACCTTACTAGGTCATGCAAAGGTCACATTTTTTGTTTTGCAAATTTCCCTCTGTTGATTCCACTAATTTTAGTAATAAAAGTTCACATTTTATATAAGAAAATAGAAGGTAAGTTTTTATTAAATCACAATCTGTAAGTAAACATAACAATTCAATAAGTAAACAAAATAATAATTTGAACACATGTTAGAAATAAATTGTAAATAAAACATATGCTAACACCTCCTCCTCTATTTACTGTGCTGCGGCACTTTACGAAGAATCAGCTGGTCAACATGTCTTCTTATTATTCGTCCATCTTCCAGCTGAACTACGTACATTACATGTCCTTGCTTTTGAGTTATATAGCCCGAATACCACTTGGACGAACCATTGACATATTCCCGCGCTTGCACTTTATCTCCAACTTTGAAATTCCTTGTTATACCGACTTGGACTCCCTTCTGCTGATATTTGTTCGGTTCTAATGTTGGAACAATTATTGCTAGGTTTGTTCGTACACTCCTTCCAAACATTAGGTGATATGCTGATGTACCTGTTGAATTCGGGGATTGCCTGAGTTGCATTAGAAGTCTTTGGATTTTATTTTGCAGTGTACCCTTTTCTCCCTCCATAGATTTTAACGCCTTCTTGACAGTCTGCACGTACCTTTCAGCCTGGCCATTTGAGTTTGGATGGTATGGTGCCGTTGTTCTGTGAATAATCCCACATTCATTCATGAAGTTTTTGAACTCTTGAGAAACAAACTGTCTTCAATTATCTGAAACTAGGATGTGAGGAAACCCAAAAGTTGAGAAGATTTTCCGTAATTCTTGGACTGTCCATGTACTTGTAGTTGTTTTTGTCTGTATCACATCCACCCACTTACTAAAGGCATCCACTAATATCAGGTACTGTTGGCCATCTGTTGGTCCTAAGAAATCAATGTGCACCCTCTCCCATGGATTAGAAGGTTGTTCCCATGGATGGATAGTTTTCCTCGGGTTGTTGCATTTTTCAATGCATTGTCGACATTCAGTTACCATATCTTCAATATCCTTGTCTATACTTTTCCACCAGCAAAAACTGCGAGCTAAAGCCTTCATTTTTATTCCTCCTAAATGAGCTACGTGTAGTTCTCGAAGCACATGAGGTCTGAGAGATTGAGGTATCATGACTCTCCAGCCCTTCAGTACACAATCATCTTGAATGGACAGCTCGTTATCGTGAAATCCGTATTGTTCAACAGATTGTCCCGATTTCAAGGCCTGTAGGACTGGACCCAAAACAGCATCGTTGAGAGTTTCCTTAGCCACCACGGTACTGTTGATATTGAGTGTTTCCAGTTGATTTATGTGGTACTTTGAGAGGTCATCTACAGAATGTTCTTGTACAACTTCGATAGGGAATCGAGAGAGATAATCTGCATTGCAATGATGAGCAGTTTGCCTGTACTCTATGTCATAGTCGAACCCGGAGAGAAAGTGAGCATAGTTGAATATCCGTGTTGCCGAGATTGTTGGTAAGGTCTTTGCTGGATTAAAAATTGACACCAGCGGTTTGTGATCAGTGATCAAAGTAAATTTGCGGCCATAACAAAACGGGGAAAACTTTTTCAGGCCCCAATATATTCCCAAGGCTTCCTTATCGATTTGAGAGTATTTTTGTTCTGATTTTGATAAAGATCGAGAGGCGAAGGCGATTGGCCTGTCTGTTCCATCCCTATAGCGGTGCGAAAGAACGGCTCCTACACCTACCGGCGAAGCATCAGTAGCTAAGACCAGTGGCAAGCTAGGATCAAAGTGTACCAACACGTCATCACTTGTAATAATTTCTTTAATCTTCAGAAAACTCTGTTTACAAGCAGAGCTCCATGTAAAAGTGTTTCCTTTTCGTAGCAGCCGATTCAAAGGATGTAGCAGTGTAGCCAAATTCTTTATGAATTTGTTGTAATAATTCGCAAGGCCTAGGAAAGTTCGGAGTTCAGTTACGTTCTCTGGTCTTTTACATTTTAAAATGCTCTGTATTTTAGCATCTGACTTATGTAGTCCTTTGCTATCGATCACATGACCTAAGTACTCAATTTTGTTCTGGAAAAACTTACATTTCTCTCTATTTAACCTCAAATCATTTAACTTCAATCGTTCAAACACCTGTTCCAGTCGGCGAAGAAGCTGTTCCCTGTTAGATCCTTGGACAATTACGTCGTCAAAGAAACATTGTACGCCTTCTAAGTTATGTAATGTTTTGTCCATGAATCTTTGCCATAACAAGGGTGCCACTTTTACTCCAAACATTAATCTGTTCACTTTAAACAGCCCTTTGTGAGTACTGATTGTTTGCATGATGGCACTGTCTTCGTCCATCTCCATGTGCAAGTATGCATTACTGATATCAAGAGTACAAAATATCTTTCCACAATGCATCTTTGACATGATATCATCAATCCGAGGTATAGGGTAATGTTCGTCTTTAATAACTTTGTTCAAAGTCACCTTGTAGTCAGCACATATTCTGACTGAACCATTGGGTTTGACAACCGGCACAATGGGTGTGCCCCAATCGGATGATTCGACACGTGTGATTATACCCAAAGTCTCCAGTCTTTCAAGTTCCTTCTCTACTTTTTCTTGTAATGCATATGGCATGTGTCTAGGTTTGATGTAAATTGGCTGGGTTTCGTCTTTTACATAAAAATGGCCCTTTTCTTTTGGTATTTTCCCAATGCCTTCTTTGAAAATGTCTTCGTATCGAATCATCAAATCATCTAGTTCTTGGATGTTTTCGTTTTCACTTGAATTTAATGAATGTATGTCAGCTGCATCAAGTTGAATCTCTCTTATCCATTCTCTTCCGAATATAGAGTCTACACACTTGTTAACAATGTACAGTTTTCCAACAAAACTTTGATCTTTATACTGAACATTTACAAAAACAATTCCTCTTGGATTGATTATTTCCCCAGTGTATGTCTTGAGTTGAACATTTGTCTTGAAAATCCTTTTTGGAGAGTTTAAAAGCTTAAATGTATCGTATGATACAATGCTGAGAGCCGCTCCTGTATCTAACTCCATTGTCATGAGTCTTCCTTCCACTTTTACCTCGAGCATAAACTTGTCATTTGATTTTGAATGAAGTTGGTAAATTTCATGAGTGTCATCATCGCTTGTATTTTCTGCGGTTTCATCTGATTGTTTTACTTCTTTCTTTGGTTTTCTTAGACATACTCTTGCTAAGTGACCAAAACGTTTACTAGAGTTGCATTCTGCATTTTTGAACTTGCATTGATGTGCTCTATGTGAATCATCACCACATCTATAGCATTTGTTTCTCAGTTTCTCCAAAGGAGTTTGATACTCAGAGAGTTGTATATTGTTAGATTTACAAGGTTTCCTATCTGGCTGTTTGTTCTTGCTTGATACTTGGTGTACTTCCTCTTGATTTTCATTTGTCTTTACTATTCTGCTTTCACTTTTCGCTAGTTCCAATGTAGCAGCCTTTTCGACTACTTCTTTAAACGGTTGCAATAGTTTATCTTGAAGAAGTTGAAGACGTATATCAGAGTCTTTTAATCCCCTGACAAACTGCATTCGAAGTAGAATTTCAGATACAGATTCATTACAACTTGTACAAGTAAACTGACATTCTACACTGAGCTTTCTAAGAGCATTAGCGTAAGCTTGTACACGTAAGCAGATTCATTACACAATTGGGTACGGGTCGTAAATTTGTGCTGAAGTGCCCAAATACTGGGTTTTGGTTCTAGTTGAGCCATTAACATGTGAATCAATTCCTCATATGGCTTGTTATGTGGGTCATCTGGTATGCAAAGATCGTATAGCTGTTCATGTATTTGTGGGGTGATTGCCTGTAAAAATAAATCCACTTTGACTCTTGGACTTAAGTTTCCCCGTAATTTTGTGTAGTTTTCAAAGCGTCGAGTGAAGTTTTGAAAACTTTCCTCTGGTGTATACGGCTGGAAAGGAATATTAGATACATTTTGACATGTTGCAGAAGCAGAAATTGCTGTATGTGTATCGTACTTTTTCTTTTCTGCTTCAAGGAATGTTCGTATCTCTCTATATATTTCTTCTAACTGCCATCGAATTTCTAATTCACTTTCTACTGAATTTGTGTGAAGTTCAATATTTGACTGTGTAACCTCAATTTCAGCCCATATTGCTAAAAGTTTATCTGTGTAGTAAGTGCATGTATCTTGAGAATGTTCACATGTTGGTAAATCATCCTTGAGTTTGATCAAGCGTAGTTCTAGTAATTTCCTTTTCTTTAGACACAAGTCAAATTCTTTTCTACTTACCATTTTACTCGTCGCCATTGTTGATTCCACTAATTTTAGTAATAAAAGTTCACATTTTATACAAGAAAATAGAAGGTAAGTTTTTATTAAATCACAATCTGTAAGTAAACATAACAATTCAATAAGTAAACAAAATAATAATTGAACACATGTTAGAAATAAATTGTAAATAAAACATATGCTAACACCCTCAATAAACGAGTGTATATTTGCGTGTTTGTCTGGCCTCTATGAGCTTGTTTTGCTACGTGAGTACTACCATTGAGTATAAACCTGGTACTACACAGCTGTTAGTTTTGACATTACAATTGGCACTTCATTAACCATTAAATTTATTTTAAAACTCCTAATTAAAATAATACAGTATGTTAAACAATAAATTACAAAACAAATGTATGTAGTTAATGTGTTTAATAGGGCAATGTTTCCGTTCCGTTTTTACAGTTCAGAAAATAAACGGTCTTATAAAATTTTCTTAAACAATATACATAACTAATTACAGCAAAAGAAAAAGGTTTCTAACCTACAAAAAAAATTATAATGTCAGAACTAACAACTGTGTAGTACTCACGTACCTATACATAGCAAAACAAGCTATGGCAAGATTGTGGTTTTTATTAATTAAATCACATTTAGTTAGCGATATTAATAGTTAGTGACCGAAACTCATCAAAAAAGTATAAATGAAACAACTAGGTAACGTAATTTATTTTAAGATTGTCTTTAGTTTAACTAACTATCTTATAAATACCACACCTTTGTTTAAACGGTTCTTTGAGGTCAGAAACTCCCAAACCAAGATTAACTGCAGCAATACGAGGTGAAGTTAATGAAACAAGGGCGGGATCTTACAAGGTGCCTTTATATTTATACAATTGACAAGCATAGCTATTTTTAAAGTCTAATAACTATTTTATTTTAATTTATCATCTTATAAAATTTAAAAGTTAAGTTAAATCCTACAAGTCACATATATATTTTAATATACTGCTTGAAAATAATTCTCCCAAGAAATAGTCAATCCTAGCCTATGTTCCTTTTAATATCTGAACACCGTTGTGTTATATTTGTAATATAGCAAACTTTAAATAGAGTTAGTATGCTTGCTATGGAGGTACAACATAATATTAAAATACGGAGAATTCCTCGCCTAAACAATATGTCAGGATCGCCGGTATTCGTGGACGGTTACCCTGTCACATTGATACATTTTGCAATAGTAAAGATTTTATGCATTTCCCTTACTCTGGGAAATAAAATTTTTAAACCTAACTGTTGCACATTAAATTCACTATTTAAGATCATTGGTTTTGATCAGGTAATTTGGACATGTACCCCTGCCATGCAGACATTTGGAATACAAATAACAACAATAAATGCATAGCTCTCACTGTTGAAATTGAAAATAAAAAATCACGACAAAGTTTATATCGGAGGTTAAATGCTTATTTTTTCGTACAATAAGAGGAGTGCAATGAACTTTCGGTTAACTCTTTATTCACGTATGATATGCATAGTTATGCGTCAGACAATACCCAGTAATCACAGATAAATCATGCCTTCAACTGCTTTAAAACAATTAACTGTGAGCCTAGAATTTGATTGTTTGTTCATTTAATTTGACCATAATATTCCTAAACTGTTTTTACTTTAATACGTTGACATACCAAAGACAGCCTAAATCAAGCCATTAATACGCTATGATCAGCCATGACATTTACATCCCCACTAATTTAGATTAGTGAATCATTGTGAGTATCCTTGCCATGACATCGTTATTAGTCTTATAACACATCTCGGCTATCTATAATCCTTGCATGTTGTCCAATATAAGCCAAAAGATTGCTGAAGGGTCACGTACTGTTTAGGTATTCTCTTTTGACCTCAATTAATTATAAATAAACGAACGGTTTGTATAAATTGATGAAAGAAGATAAATTGTGAGCTATGTTCAATACAGTTTTTATCAGTTATTCAGTTTTCAGTTAGTGCTTTTCTTCTGCTATTGATTTTGTATTCACTCCATAACTCTATCATAGCACTCAAAAAAATGTTTTAGTTTGTTAATTCCTTTCATATTGAACCTATTGTCTAGTAACAGGACTCCTTTAAATTTTAAAACATTCAGGCTAAAGTATGCATAGAATAATGCTAATAAACCGTTTAATTTTATCTAAACTAGTTTTGTACGTAATATATTATGAAACAAAGCTGCGTAAACATTCCCATTTTTTATGCAGATCGTTCTGCATAATTTAAATGTTAGAATTAACATAATTTGTTAAAAGATTGTTACACAAAATACGTGGTCAATTTGTATGCGACATGCAGCGAAAGAGTGGGTACGTAAACAAGGCGCTCCTCTGGCGCAGTAGCTATAAAACTTTATTGCGGTTGTCATTTTTTAGTATTTGTAAAGTCGTAAAAATACATCCGATATGTAAATTTGTCCGTCTATTCAAAATATTTATTCCAGTTGTTCACGTTCTGTATCATTTAAAATACACGTGATGAACAAATATTGCACATTTGAAAAATTCTTACATTATTTGAGTAGATATTTATGCTGTATACAAAAGTATAAGCTGTATACAGAGTTTTTTAGTACAAATAATAAAGACCACGCCAATGTACTAGTGTGTTTGTAGTGTGCTAGTAAGTTATCCTGTAAAACAAATAATAATCCATCTAAGAATAGACCAAGATAGCTATGGGTCTCTTTTTTCCACAACGACCTGTACACCTCCAGAGCTACTAGGAGATGGTAGCAATTTTATAATTTTAAGGGAATCCACTCTGATTTGATGGGAGTGATCCTCTATTTTAAGTTTATTAATGTTATAGAATATTTTATAGTCCTACTTTTCTTGATACCTAATTCAATAAGAAATACTTTCATGTAATTTGAGACTACTCTAATTTACATTGACAACAAATCAATAGCTTAAATGAAAAACAAATCATTTATACCTATTTATATCTTGCTATCCTGTAATAGCAGTAGCCTGTTAAGTAAACCTAAGCAGGCTTTAGTTTCATTGCTGCTTTACTTACCATTACCCAAAATTTTCCGAACCGTGAGGAAGTACAGCTGTATTGTTTCGTGATTGGTATTCAAAGGCAAGTGCTCGACATTTGGTATTGAGAATGTATTGCTGCCAAGTAAACTCTGCTCGATAAAGCTTCGGATTCCGGCTTAGAAGATCAGAGCCGTTGAGTTAAGTTACTGTTACCGTTGTACATGAGTAAAACGTAACAGAAAAGATATGAGAAATATCTAATGTATTCTCATAATTAACTTAAATGTAAGTTTTTTAATATATCCTGTTA